CACCTCATCCCCTCCCCGCTCCGCGCGCGCGCCCCGGTCTTTCACTTCGGCCTCGCGCGCCCCTAGCTCGTGTCCCTTCATTTCTTCTCCTTTTACTCTTTCTTCCCTCCCTCGCGCCCCGTTTCCCCCGCCATCCCCGCTTTCACTCACTGCCTCATGCCCGCCATGCTCCCCTCCTTGCCTCTCAAGCGCGCGGCCCCCCCCTTTTTTTTTTTAACTCTCCACCCCCCGGTGGTGCCCTCGGGGTGCGGGGGCCGCTCCCTTAGTCTCGTGTTTGCCGGCGAATGGGACTAATGGGGGAATCCTTAAGGGTGGAGGAAGCACGGGGTAATTATCTTTATTTAGGGAAAGGGACCAAGAGCGCAGAACCTTACCCTTTCTTTCGTCGTCCACCGTTCCCTCGTTCTCCCGTAGGGGAAGGGAATTGTCTTAGCCTGTGTAGGTACTTATTTTCCATCGCGATGAAGCCACCCCTTTCCTCAGTTGGCTTCTGGGACCCTCTGGCTCCCAGTTCAGTGCCCGAGTTTCGATGGAGCTGGAACTCACTGTTCCCTAACCAAGCCGGGGCTTAGAGTACTTTCTGCTTCCCTGCTCTCAGTTCCAGTAAAGAGCCAGCCACTCCTGAGAGCGCAGAGGTTTGGGTGTCATTCGCCGGCCCGAGGCAGCTTTTCCCCGTCCCAAAGGTGTGGTAGCCGCTTTGGCCTCTTTCCTGGCATCAACTTCCCTCCAAACACAAAATGTTAGTTCCTAGGTGGAGCCAGAGGCCTTGATGGTGGGTGACATGTGGACGCTAACTGAGCACCAGGCTTTTCCTCTGCTGTCAGCTGCAGAAGCAGCTTTCCCATTTCTGATAAAAGATCATTTGGAGGGCTTTTGTGTGAGAGAGATGGGGGCTGCTTAATATTTGTCAGCACGGGAAAAGGAGTGCTTTCAGGCCAGACTGAACAGAGGTTTGGACTTGCCGCGGCTGGAGTAACAGCAGGTTTAACAGATCTGTGTTGGAGAAGAGCTGATGCTTTCGTAGTTTAAAAAGCTATTTTCTTTTTCAAAAAAATTACTTTTTGAATAGACGATGTGCATGCGTGTGGTACAAAGTGAAAAGTAATCTTCCTTGCACTGCTGTTCTCAGCCTTCCCATTCCCCTCTCTGTGCAGATTCCCCCTGCTTGTTTT